GGTGTGCTAACCAGAGCACAATGATATACCAGGAAACACTAAACAGGTGTGCTAACCAGAGGACAATGATATACCAGGTAACACTAAACAGGTGTGCTACCCAGAGCACAATGATATACCAGGAAACACTAAACAGATGTGCTAACCAGAGCACAATGATATACCAGGAAACGCTAAACAGGTGTGCTAACCAAAGCCCAATGATATACCAGGAAACACTTAACAGGTGTGCTAACCAAAGCCCAATGATAAACCAGGTAACACTAAACAGGTGTGCTAACCAGAGCACAATGATATACCAGGAAACACTAAACAGGTGTGCTAACCAAAGCCAAATGATATACCAGGTAACACTTAACAGGTGTGCTAACCAGAGGACAATGATATACCAGGTAACACTAAACAGGTGTGCTAACCAGAGCACAGTGATATACAAGGAAACACTAAACAGGTGTGCTAACCAGAGCACAACGATATACCAGGAAACACTAAACAGATGTGCTAACCAGAGCACAACGATATACCAGGAAACACTAAACAGATGTGCTAACCAGAGCACAATGATATACCAGGAAACACTAAACAGGTGTGCTAACCAGAGCACAATGATATACCAGGAAACACTAAACAGGTGTGCTAACCAGAGCACAATGATATACCAGGAAACACTAAACAGGTGTGCTAACCAGAGCACAATGATATACCAGGAAACACTAAACAGGTGTGCTAACCAGAGCACAATGATATACCAGGAAACACTAAACAGGTGTGCTAACCAGAGCACAATGATATACCAGGAAACACTAAACAGGTGTGCTAACCAGAGCACAATGATATACCAGGAAACACTAAACAGGTGTGCTAACCAGAGCACAATGATATACCAGGAAACACTAAACAGGTGTGCTAACCAGAGCACAATGATATACCAGGAAACACTAAACAGGTGTGCTAACCAGAGCACAATGATATACCAGGAAACACTAAACAGGTGTGCTAACCAGAGCACAATGATATACCAGGAAACACTAAACAGGTGTGCTAACCAGAGCACAATGATATACCAGGAAACACTAAACAGGTGTGCTAACCAGAGCACAATGATATACCAGGAAACACTAAACAGGTGTGCTAACCAGAGCACAATGATATACCAGGAAACACTAAACAGGTGTGCTAACCAGAGCACAATGATATACCAGGAAACACTAAACAGGTGTGCTAACCAGAGCACAATGATATACCAGGAAACACTAAACAGGTGTGCTAACCAGAGCACAATGATATACCAGGAAACACTAAACAGGTGTGCTAACCAGAGCACAATGATATACCAGGAAACACTAAACAGGTGTGCTAACCAGAGCACAATGATATACCAGGAAACACTAAACAGGTGTGCTAACCAGAGCACAATGATATACCAGGAAACACTAAACAGGTGTGCTAACCAGAGCACAATGATATACCAGGAAACACTAAACAGGTGTGCTAACCAGAGCACAATGATATACCAGGAAACACTAAACAGGTGTGCTAACCAGAGCACAATGATATACCAGGAAACACTAAACAGGTGTGCTAACCAGAGCACAATGATATACCAGGAAACACTA